TTTTTAAATATTGAAGAAAAAATATATCACTAAATAGTTAATTAAAAGGAAAAAATGAAGAAAAAATATGAAATAATAAGAAATAAATAATAAAAGCAAAAGTTGAAAATAAAATGATGAGCTAAATTAACAAAGAAAGAACAAAAAAAGCAAGCAAAATAAAAAGAAAAAGAAAAAAGAGCTTTATTGTTTTTTATTAGTTTTTATAATTAAAAATATCACAATCCAAAACAAATAAACTGTTTTTACTAAAGGTCAAGTGTCAAATTTGAGAGATTAATACAATTTGCTAAAGCAGAACCTAAGCCTGATGCACCTTCATCACCAATTTAATTTCCACTTTTCAAATATTAAAGAAAAAATATATCATTAAATAGTTAATTAGAAGGAAAAAATGAAGAAAAAATATGAAATAATAAGAAATAAATAATAAAAGCAAAAGTTGAAAATAAAATGATGAGCTAAATTAACAAATAAAGAACAAAAACAAGCAAGCACAATAAAAAGAAAAAGAAAAAGAAAAAAGAGCTTTATTGTTTTTAATTAGTTTTATAATTAAAAATATCACAATCCAAAACAAATAAATTGTTTTTACCAAAGGTCAAGTGTCAAATTTGAGAGATTAATGCAATTTGCTAAAGCAGAACCTAAGCCTGATGCACCAATTGCACCAAATTCATTCCAACTTTTTAAATAATGAAGAAAAAATATATCATTAAATAGTTAATTAAAGGAAAAAATGAAGAAAAAATATGAAATAATAAGAAATAAATAATAAAAGCAGAAGTTGAAAATAAAATGATGAGCTAAATTAACAAAGAAAGAATAAAAAAAAGCAAGCACAATAAAAAGAAAAAGAAAAAAGAGATTTATTGTTTTTAATTAGTTTTTATAATTAAAAATATCACAATCCAAAACAAATAAATTGTTTTTACCCAAGGAAAAGTGTCAAATTTGAGAGATTAATGCAATTTGCTAAAGCAGAACCTAAGCCTGATGCACCAATTGCACCAATTTAATTTTCACTTTTTAAATATTGAAGAAAAATATATCATTAAATAGTTAATTAAAGGAAAAAATGAAGAAAAAATATGAAATAATAAGAAATAAATAATAAAAGCAGAAGTTGAAAATAAAATGATGAGCTAAATTAACAAATAAAGAACAAAAAACAAGCAAGCACAATAAAAAGAAAAAGAAAAAAGAGCTTTATTGTTTTTAATTAGTTTTTATAATTAAAAATATCACAATCCAAAACAAATAAACTATTTTTACTCAAGGCCAAGTGTCAAATTTGAGAGATTAATGCAATTTGCTAAAGCAGAACCTAAGCCTGATGCACCTTTTGCACCAATTTAATTTTTACTTTTTAAATATTGAAGAAAAAATATATCATTAAATAGTTAATTAGAAGGAAAAAGTGTAGAAAAAATATATCATTATATAGAGTAAGTTACCATACAAATTTACAAAAAGCGAGTTTAATATACCAGTTTTTACATTTTATAAAATTAAAATCAAATAAATTAAAAGAACTATTATGTTTTAAATTAACTTTTATAATTAAAAATATTACAATGTAAAAAAAATAAATAGCTTTTATTAAGTGTAAGTTTTAATAACAAAAAATGAATAAAAAATATCAAATAATAAAAAATGAATAATAAATTATTAATTAAAAATTGAAATGAAAATTAAATTAAGATAGCTAAAAAAGTTTAGTTTTAACAAAAATCAATAAATAAATAATGATGATAATTTCTATAACAAAAATTATTTATTTAAATAAATTAAAAATTAAATATACAAAAAATATCAATAATAATAAAAATAATATTTTTTAATTAAATATACCTCAGATCAATATGGAGAACCTAATGAGATAAAAGTGAAGAGCTTTCAAACTTTTTTTATTAATTTATTTTAATTAAAAGGATATTAATAAAAAAATAAATAATTACTTCTTTTAATGTGTTGTAATATTTAATCTATTATATCATTTATTTTTTTTTTCAAAAGTATTGAATAGCAAGCAATTTATGAAATTTAATTAATTAATTAATTATCAATGCATAAAAAGAACAAATAAATTTAATAATTAATTAATTATCAATGGATAAAAAGAACAAATAAATTTAATAATTAATTAATTATCAAATATTAATTTATATATTTGGTTTTATGAAGAGATATCACATAAAAATGAATTTAAAATTCACTATTTAAACTTAATATTTGTATTTATAACATATACTTAAAAATATATATAGTATGAATTAAAGATGGCCAGTTATTTATTTAGTCATATTTGAAAAAAGCCTAGTAGTTAAGTACCCATAGATTAAGCAAAACCTCCAAACCTCCAATTTTTATTTTCTAGAATATTTAGAGAACATTTTATAATAAATAATAAGTTAAGCACTTTAAAATTTATAATACCACGTTAAAAAAAATTACATAAATTCTTGATATGAAATAAGCTTATAAAAAGCAAAATTCAAGCATTAATAACTTTTAAATTCATTAATTTACTCTAAATATTCTCAAATAAAAAAATCAAATTTGTATTGTCTGAATGAATAAATGATAATTTAAAAAACAATTATTTTATGATTTTAAAAAATATAAAATGAAATAAATGACCACTAAAGTTAAAATAAAAAGTAAAACTTGATTTCTCCCTGAGGTTTTATTTAAATCATGGCATCTAATTAATCATGATAAATAAAAAAAGGATAGAAATATGATTGATGGATTATATTTAAGATTAAAATATAACTGGCATATAAAAGTTTGGCATTTAATAAAATGTAATATAACACTAAAAGTTTCAAATTATTTGATCATTTTTGGAGAAACCAGAGGGTTTGTTTATGAGGATTTAATTTATTTAAGTAAATTTAATTTTTTTATTTTTTATAAATAATTTATTTACTTACAAAAATATGAATGATATTTATAAATATAAAATCAATAATAAAATCTATCGATCTATAATATTTTAGGTAAAAAACACTTTTTCAAAATATTATATAATAAAATATATAATACTATTCGAACATTTTATATTTATTCATCCTTTTTTCACCTATTTTTTATCAATAGTGATCAAAGACAACTAATCTTTTTGATTTAAGAAACTTGCTTAATACTTTGAACTTTTATG